ATCACAGCTTCTATGAGTTATTTTGGGGTCATACAAGAGATATGGGAAATTGATTATGTTAATTTTAGGGTTCCTGTCTTCAAGTGTAAATGGGTTGAAGGGAGTACGGGTGTGCGAACAGATGACCTAGGATTTACTTTGGTTGATTTGAGTAAAGTTGGGTATAAGGATGAACCTTTTATTTTGGCATATCAAGCGAGAAAAATATTTTATGTCAAGGATCCATGTAATGAGAGATGATCAATTGTCCTTGAAGGAAGAAGCATGCACGGAATTCATGAAGATGAGTCTCTAGATATACATGAAACACCTTCATTTTCAAGTAGACCATTTGATGACATAGTTGACAATGAAGTTGATGACATACATGCAATTCGAAGTGATCATGATGAAGGGATATGGGAAAACATACCAACATAATAGGTGTTTATCTTCACATTTTCTAGTTCTTTTTATTCAAACTTATAAAGTATGTTGACTTCATATTGTTTTGTTTTTCAGGATATGTCAGATTCCACATCTGGTACTGGTACTGGTACTGGTAGTGGTAGTGGTAGTGGTAGGAGCGGAAGTGGAGGTAAAGGTAGATCTGTCACTCGGTTAAAGGGGTTGACAAGCAAGGAGGGTAGCTAGAGAGAAAACTCAAGTTGAAGTTGATCCACGTTCGGTAAGGCATCCGGCCCAAATGTCTGCTAAGTTTAAGAGCTATTTGGGACTACTAGCTCGACACCATGTTCCGATTACTACTCCATCTTGGGATGATGTAGAGGAAACCAAGAAGAACCTCATGTGGCGGGATGTTCGGGTATTTCTATATTTGTTGAATACTTTATATATCATTATTAATTGAATTTAACATTTATTGGTCATTTCACAGTAAAATTTTGATGTTCCTAACACTCGAGGTGATGAGGAAGAAGATTTTATCCTCCATTGCCATTAGATGGAGGGACTTTAAGACTTTCTTGACATGGGAGTATGTATTTGGAAAGTTTCAAGATGAATCTCCCTGTCTAAAGTATCAAATTAGTGAGGAGGATTGGTTACGGTTTTGTGCCAGCCGAATGGACCCCTCTTGGCAGGGATAAAAGACGTGCCGCCCAACAACGTCGGAGGTTGAATGATGCACCCCATGTATTGTCACGAGGAGGGTATGCATTATTGGAGCAACGTCTCATGAAATCCAGAGAAGAGTCAGTAGCAGTTGAGTCTACTGACCATGCATCTCCACCCCCTCGCTATGAGATGTGGAAGGCAGCCCGGACAAAATCTGATGGACAAATGACTTCTGAGTCTGCACAAATCATTGCTCAGAAAATCGTAAGTTATAATGTCAATTTGAATTGATTCTAATGTGAAAGTTAGTGTATGACTTAATTATTATTAATGTGTTGTAGGATGATTTAGTTGAGCAGAGCACCCAAGGATCATTTATTCCTCATGGTCGACAAGATATATTGGTGACAGCCATAGGAAAACCATATTATTCAGGACGTGTGCGTGGTGCTGGTGGATCCTGGGACCTTCGTGATTACTTTGGTCCAACATCACGAAGGACCACTACTAACTCTTGCAGCCAGGAGACCTTGCATAAAATGGAGATGCAGTTTGAAGAAAAGTTAAATCAAATAAGGCAGTCCTTGCAGCAAGAGTTTGATGAGAAAATTGAATCTCTCGCCCACTCTCAGCAACAAACTCAAGGAACACCTCAAACAATTGAACATGATGTTGTTCGAGTCAGCACTAAAGGGAGTTGTGCTGCTACTGCTGCTGATCCTTCAGGAGAATATACTCAGACTGATGCATCACACCAGTGTGAGTTATATGTTAAAGATGACCCCCCGCGTCTAGTGGCTATTGGTCGAGTTTTTGAGGGTGGTTTAACCATCCATGGTGTCCCTCTACAGGCAGACTGGACACGAGTAGTAGTTGATGAAGTTCATGATGCTAATGCTCCAGTTCCTTTTCCTAATGAAGAGATTCAATTAGTGGGGCAGGCAAGCGGGACATTCTTGGCTTGGCCAAGACGTTTGGTTATGCCACTATTAGCACAGACCAAGGTAATATATATATATATATATATATATATATATATATATATATATATTGTCTATTTTCTCTTTTCTAGTATTATAATTATATAAATGTTTAATTAATTGTTATCATTTGCTTAGGAGGACTTGCGTCATGCTAAGCATAAAAAACAACCTATTATTGATGAGGATTTGATAGAATGTGATGATGATCCCATCTCTATGTTGTTGACCATATTACCACGGTTGAGGAAGAAACCGTATCGAGATAATATGGGATGTTAGAGTGTTTGGAATTGACAATTCCGAGTGTTCCATTATACATTTCCTTGCCAGATGCTTTAGAAATTGCTTGGGGAAATTGCATGTTAAACATTTCCATCATACAATTGTGGGCAATGTAAGTCATTCTCATTTATGTTTCTAAGATTATAATAATTATATTCAACTTATAATTAATTGTTTTAGGTACATTGACAAATTGAGTGTGGAACAAGAAAAATTTATACGAATTTATTGAGCCTCAATCCATCCAAAAATGCTGGAAATACAAAGGTTAGAATCCAACAATATATGCAAACATGGATGAGTGACTCAAAAAGACATATATATTTGGCTTCATACATTGAAGGGTTAGTATTTTAATTTATATTTTTGTAACTAATTTTTATGTCATACAATGTAGGTCCCATTGGCAGTTAATTGTAATCATACCCCAGGATTACACTTGTGGTGTGATTTTGTTCATTACATCGGAAACCGAGTCAAGAAATGAAAAGCTTATTACAAGGGTAACTTTATCTTTTATTCATTAATTATGTTTTTAAATTGTAAATACATATTGAATAATATATGACTTTTTTCACTTAGAATCGTGTCTAGAACTAATGTTCTAAGTGGAAAACCTAGAACAAAGACTTTGCAGTTCATTTATCCTAAGGTTAGAAACTTATTTATATAAGTGAATACCATAATTATTGTTTGTATTTAAATTTTGAAAATAACATTATGTTTTTTCATCATTTCGAGTGTAATAAGCAAACAGACTCGTTTGAATGTGGTTACTATGTTATGTATTGGATGATAGCCATAGTTTGTGCGGGTATAATTGATTCTTGGATGGAGGTAATTGTTTTTAACATTAGTTAAGTTTATTTAACTTTATTCATGTTGCATGTTTACAAGAGTCAAATTAATGTTTCAGGTATTTCAAGATCCATCTTCATTACCAGAATATGATATTACACAAATTAGAGAACAATGGGCAAAATTTTTTGTTCAACAATTCTAGTACATAATTTTTTAAGTTCTTGTTCATATTATATTGTGTGTATTATGTAGTTTATGTAGCTTAGTTTGTATTAACTTTTAGTTTGTAATAGATTTTTTAGTTTGTATGTTTGTATTATGTAGTTTGAATTATATAATATTATATTTTTAATTTAGTAGCTAAAGAAAATTGAACCTCCGGACTGTCTGGTTGTAATATATATTTGCAGGTTTTAGTTGTAAAACAGAATCAACCCAATTTAAAAAAAAACAGCAAATTTACGTCGCATATTGGTATATGCGACGTAAATTTGCTGTTTTTATTTTAATTTTCGAAAATTTTTACGTCTGTTTAGTGGTATATGCAACGCAAAATTACGTCGAGTCTTGATAATCGACGTAAATTTACGTCAGGCTAAAGGGTCCAACGTAAATTTACATCTCCCGTTTTAACGTCAATCTTAAATACGATGTAAAAAGCCCTAAATACCTGATGTAAAATTCCCTTTTTGCACTAGTGTATAATGAGATACGAATTTGCCAGGATAATTTTATTGACTCAAAGGACGGTTTGAAGTTTCAGTTTCTGTAATAGTAAATGAACACTTCGAGTACTGGTTAAGTCAAATAATTTTTATTAATGTAGATTTCATTTGGATAATGATTCAATTAACTGTTTGGTTTTATCTTAAATTGAATTTAATCCTACCATTTAAAACCCTGTATTTGTGGATTTGTTATTTATAGAAACAAGAGGGACAATTATTTGTTTAGATAGATAATTGGTCCTACCCACTTTTGCATTCAACAAAAGGTTTTTAAAAAAAACTAGGCCGAAATATATTGTCCGAAAACTAAAGCAAACTAAAAAGAATTCGTCTGAAGTGAATTGAATGAAAAATAGTTTATTCAAAATTATATTATTAATTTTCAATAAATTAATTTAATCAAATTCAAATTAAAACTTTGTTAACCAAAGTAAATTTCTTTTTAATCTAACTGAACCTTTTTTCTTACTAATATTAGAAGTATGAAAAAATGTTATCCCGTTACAAAATTAGTTCAAATTTTATAGTTCGAGTTCGGTTGAATTTTTTTCACATCAATTTCTCAAGAAAATTAATTACTTTTCATTATTTCCATAAATAATCACATTATACGTTTTCTCTCCCTTTTGTAAAAGATTCAGCACAATTACACTTGAATCCAAAGGTGCATAAACTATGTTTTCAATATTGTATAGTCGATTACAGAACATTACACATAATTATATTTTTGTTGCCTACATTTATAAATATTGTATACATTTTAAAGATCTCATAGCAAAAAAAGAGTTTCAGAAGAAGAGGCCATGACAGGTGTGCATGCTAACTTTACCTTAACCAAACTGATAACTGTATACTATTAATTAAAGGTGGAGAAAGGCAATACTATATATATATATATATATAAAAGAAAAACAAATTAATTAAAAAGTTTGCACTATCCCGATTAATAGGGGACAGTCCCCAAAGATAGATTTCATTGAATGAGAAACATAGAATTATAGGTTTTAAATTGCAGTTCCCTCACAATAATAGCATCCTTAACATAGCATCAGACCACACAAACTGCAATTTAAAACCTTGACATTCTGGGTAGTTGAGGTTAAGGTTGGTAATAACCATGGCTACGGCGAAGGCCATTTTTTCCGTAGGCATGGTCTTGCTCTCTTGCAGCTTGATAGGTGCATCGCGTGGCCATGAGACTCGCCGTAGCTTACTCCTTCCGATTCTAAATAAGGGTCCTGAGATTTTTGACGTGACAAAATATGGTGCTGTGGCAGATGACAAGAAAGACAATGTTGTTGTAAGTTTAATCTGTTTCATTACCTTGATTCAACGAATTCCTTACGACTTTGTGAATAACTACATATATAATAAACTATTGAAGGAAATAATGGAGGAAATTAAAATTTTTAAAGCAGAATCTGTTAATCTGTTAGAGAGAGAAGTAAACCATATGAACATGTAATAAATGATGAAAGTCTCGGACATGATGATAATATAAAGTTAGGGAAGATATTTAAGGAATGATTTTGTATGGTTGGTATATATGCAGGCATTTAGGGCAGCATGGGGAGCGGCATGCAAGAACAGTACTACTCAAGCAAAGGTTTTGATCCCAGAGGGAACTTATCGTATTGCCCAAACATTGTTTGCGGGGCCATGTAGCAGCCCAAAGCCTATAACCATTGAAATTATGGGAACTATTAAAGCCAACACAGATCCATCTGAGTACGCGAGTCCAGAATGGTTCGCGTTCGAGAACATTGATGGCCTTGTGTTGACTGGGAAAGGGGTTTTTGATGGCCAAGGACCTGCTATGTGGCCATTTAACGACTGCAGGACAGTCAAACAAACTTGTTCACCCCTCCCTTCTGTAAGCATACTTTTAGTAAACGACTGCAGGAACACGTTTTGATAATTTGTTTAGAAAGATCTCAACACTCCCTAAAGTTTCTTGCGTGATCATTAATTTTACTATTTTTTTAAAGTGGTGATAAAACAATAATTTGAAAAGGTATTAGCAACTTACGTCTTTAATGGTGACGTGTTCTGCAAAATTACTTCGTAATTTCTTGAAGGATTAGTAGCAACATCTTCTAAGCTTATAAATGATCAAACATGGTTTTCGTAAAATGAATTGATATGGCTTGAATGGGAAGTAACGAGTTTATAAATGCATGCAATGCAGTCTCTGAAATTCTACAAGGTGAACAACTCGATAGTGACAGGCATCACTTCGTTGAACAGCATGCAGTTCCACTTGCACGTTCACGGGTGTAACAATGTTTCACTATTTGACCTCAACATAACAGCACCAGGAAACAGTCCCAACACAGACGGCATCCACGTAAGCTCCAGCGACAGCATCAAGATCTTCAGCAACGTCATCGGAACCGGCGATGACTGCATTTCCATCGGACACAGCTCCACCAACCTTGCTGTCCATAACATCACCTGCGGCCCCGGTCACGGCATCAGTATCGGAAGCCTTGGAAAGAGGCCAGAGGAGGGAAGTGTGGACGGCGTCACCGTTACCAATTGCACGTTTGTGAACACCACCAACGGTGCCAGAATCAAAACCTGGATCGGGACGGTGGCAGCGGAAGTTAGGAACGTTACCTATGAAGGCCTCATCATGTACGGTGTCCAGAATCCCATTGTGATTGACCAGAGTTATGGTTCCAGAGTGGCCAGAGCGGTGAGTAACTTAACCCTGAAATCGTGCAATGCATCACAACAAATAAAGAATCCATTTTGAAAAACAAAAATCAGAAAAGGAAGCTCATTCCTGTTTTTCTAAAATATCTTATCCATGAAATCAGGTGCATTAAAAAAATTGGTTGCAATATTTTAATTATGTAATCTAACAATGGAAAATGTTCAGCCATCAAGTTCGGTGTGGAAGATCAGTGATGTTCATTTCCGCAAGATAAAAGGAACTACAATATCAAGCATTGCAGTGTCTCTGGAATGCAGCACCCGGAACCCCTGCGAGGGTGTTGAGGTAGCCGATGTAGATTTGGCTTATGCTGGACGTACACTGATCAATACAACTTTCCTAACCGCGTGTTCAAATGCAAAAGCTATTTTTGGAGGGATACTGAATCCACCACCTTGTTAGATTTTCCACCCTTTATATATTTTTAAATAACCGAGGGAAGAAAGGTGTCACACTATCAGGACTCTTTTTTCTTTTTTTTTATTATGTTTATTTTACATGGTACCACTTTATACCAGCATAGAATGTCTAGCTGCTATTTCATGTTAAGTGTGTACGTAGATGTCACAATTAAGTTTGACAACAATTTATGCTGGACATAAGTGTAATTAGCATGATAAATGATATGAAATGAAGAATTGAAATACCTTGGCTTCATTAGCAATAATTTAGGAAGTTAAGAATTTCTTTTTTTTTTTTATTATTTTGATTAATTATTTAAAACATTAGATGTCCAATATACACTACAAGAAAAAACACATTTAGCCACAAAAATTAGCGACCGATTTAGCGGCTGATTTAATTTTGGTCACAATTAGCGACCGATTTAGCGACCGATTTAATTCGGTCGCAATTAGCAACCAATTTAGCGACCACTTTAATTCGGTCGCAATTAGCGACCCAGTTAATTCGGTCGCAATTTAGCGACCGAATTAGCCACTAAAATATGATTTGGTTTCACTTTTTTATTTAGCGACCAATATTTTGCGTCGCAAAATTTCGATGGCTATTCCATACTAAAATAAAAAAATCATTTAGCGACTGATTTAGCGATCGAATTACAAATTGAAATAGTGACCGAATTAAAATCGATCGCTAATGAATATTATTTTTTTATTATATTTAAATTTATTTTTTTATAAATATACTTTAATTGTTTTAGTATATTTTTTACAATTTTTTTTAAAAGTAATTTATTTTTTAAAAATAATTTAATTTTTAAAATATACTTTAAAAATAAACTTTGATCTCAATATTAACAAAATGAATTGTAATAAATCAAATTTATTAAAAATTTAAATTGTAATAAATTAAGACTAGAGTGATATTAACTATTCAATACATTGTTTAAGAAAAGTTTAATAACAAATATTCTTTAATTTATTTTTCAATTGAAAATTTCAATTGAAATTAAATTATATTTTAAAAATTTATATTAAAAAAATTAAACACATCAAATTATCACATTTTAATTCCTCATTAACTTAATTAATTAAAATAAATACAATTTTAATCAAATTATTACAATTTTATTTTATAATACTTTATTTTTAATCTAATTTTTAAATTTATTGCTTTATTATTATTAATTACTTAATCATGATTGTTGTCATATAATTGATATACCAAAAAAATTTTATATCAATATACATTAGATAATAAATATATTATTTAATTAAACTATTTATAAAAATATATTTATCTTTAGTTAAAATATTTTTTAGTTTAAGTATACTAATTAATATTTTTTATTTTTAACATAATTAATAAAAAAGATTAAAATTTTAAAATTAATCTATTTTATAAATACTAAAAATAAACCATATTTAAATAAATGAAAAATATATTTAAATTTAAATTCAACATAGTTAAGGTTATGCCTTTTAAAATTTATATTCAACATATATTTAAATTTATATTAAAAATAGTTAATATAAATTAAGGTTGTGCCTTTTTAAAATTTTAACTTTTTTATATATTGGATTTTCATTAAAAAAATTCTAAAATTGCATAAGAAAATAGGAATTTAATTATACTTTTAATAAATTTAAAATAATACTAGTTTTTATTTTTATTTTTAAATATTTATTTTAATTTTTTTAAAAGAGAGAAACTATAATTTTAGTTTCTAAATACTAAATTTAAAAAATTAAATTTATTATTATTTAATATTTTAATATTAGTATTAAAAATCTAAATTATATTTTATTAAATTAAAATAATTATAATATATTTTTCTACTTTGAGAATTAAATATATAATTAAACTAAAACTGAAAATATTATAATACATTTTTGAACTCTTTTTTATAATATTTTTATCATTATTATATTTTTGGATTAATTATTTTTTTCCTAATTTTTTATAAAGTCAATTTTAATATTTAAAAGTATTTAACATTTTGAATTCTGAAACTTTTTCTCTATTAACAAATTTAAAAACATAATATACTAAAAAAGTATTATAAATAATTATTTCATCCAATAATTATATAATTAAAAAAATAAATAATTATATAATTAAAACAGAGAATTTAATTATTTTTATAAAAAACAGATTTAATTATACTTTTAATAAATAATTATAACTATAAAATTAATGATTTATAATAATTAAAAGTAATTATAAATAATTATATATAAAAGTAATTAAAAGTATAATTATAACTATAATTAGAAGTATAATTAAAAGTATAATAAATAATTATAGTAAATAATTATAATTAAAAGTATAATTAAATCTCTATTTTTATGAAAATAATTATAATAATTTAATCAAAATAATTATAAATACTTTTTTATACAAATTATTTAATTATAGTATTTAATTAAATATAATTAAAAATATTTCATCCAATATTTAGTATTTAGAAACTAAAATTATAGTTTCTCTGTTTTAAAAAATTAAAATAAATATTTAAAAATAAAAATCAAAACTAGTATTATCTTAAATTTATTAAAAGTATAATTAAATCTCTATTTTCTTCAATATTTCTTTTTTTAACTTTTCAATTCTGCATTTTTGTCAATTCCATCATTGTATTATCATCCTCATCTCCTCCCATCTTCTACTTTATGTTTACAATAATTAATATTCTTAAATAATTTATATTTTTATTTATAAATTTTTAATATATATTTGAGAAATTAATCAATTATAATCTATTATTTGAAAAATTAATCAATTCTAATCAATTATTTAGAAAACTAATCGATTATAATTAATTATTTGAAAAAATTATCCAATATGATCGGTTATTTGAAAATTTAATCGATCATAATGGTTGTATATGATAGCGGTTCCACTGGAATCACTCTTAAAACAGAACATCTAATAAGCGGTTAAACCTTAACCGCTATCTAAAATATAGTTTAGATAGCGGTTAACGTGGAACCGCTATTATATAGTTTCAAATATGATCGATCATTTAAAAATATAATCGATCATCATCAAAACTTACATTAACTATTTTTTTGAATATTATGTTTTTAAATTTGGTAATACGTAAAACGTTTCAGAAATCAAAATGTTAAATACTTTTAAATATTAAAATTGACTTTATAAAAAATTAGGAAAAAAAATTAATCAAAAAGAGTTCAAAAATGTATTATAATATTTTCAGTTTTAGTTTAATTATATTTTTCATTCTCAAAGTAGAAAAATATATTGTAATTATTTTAATTTAATAAAATATAATTTAAATTTTTAATACTAAAATTAAAAGATTAAATAATAATAAATTTAATTCTTTAAATTTAGTATTTAGAAACTAAAATTATAGTTTCTCTGTTTTAAAAAATTAAAATAAATATTTAAAAATAAAAATCAAAACTAGTTTTATCTTAAATTTATTAAAAGTATAATTAAATCTCTATTTTCTTCAATATTTCTTTTTTTAACTTTTCAATTCTGCATTTTTGTCAATTCCATCATTGTATTATCATCCTCATCTCCTCCCATCTTCTACTTTATGTTTACAATAATTAATATTCTTAAATAATTTATATTTTTATTTATAAATTTTTAATATATATTTGAGAAATTAATCAATTATAATCTATTATTTGAAAAATTAATCAATTCTAATCAATTATTTAGAAAACTAATCGATTATAATTAATTATTTGAAAAAATTATCCAATATGATCGGTTATTTGAAAATTTAATCGATCATAATGGTTGTATATGATAGCGGTTCCACTGGAATCACTCTTAAAACAAAACATCTAATAGCGGTTAAACCTTAACCGCTATCTAAAATATAGTTTAGATAGCGGTTAACGTGGAACCGCTATTATATAGTATCAAATATGATCGATCATTTAAAAATTTAATCGATCATCATCAAAACTTACATTAACTATTTTTTTGAATATTATGTTTTTAAATTTGGTAATACAGAAAACGTTTAGAAATCAAAATGTTAAATACTTTTAAATATTAAAATTGACTTTATAAAAAATTAGGAAAAAAAATTAATCAAAAAGAGTTCAAAAATGTATTATAATATTTTCAGTTTTAGTTTAATTATATTTTTCATTCTCAAAGTAGAAAAATATATTGTAATTATTTTAATTTAATAAAATATAATTTAAATTTTTAATACTAAAATTAAAAGATTAAATAATAATAAATTTAATTCTTTAAATTTAGTATTTAGAAACTAAAATTATAGTTTCTCTGTTTTAAAAAATTAAAATAAATATTTAAAAATAAAAATCAAAACTAGTATTATCTTAAATTTATTAAAAGTATAATTAAATCTCTATTTTCTTCAATTTTTCTTTTTTTAACTTTTCAATTCTGCATTTTTGTCAATTCCATCATTGTATTATCATCCTCATCTCCTCCCATCTTCTACTTTATGTTTACAATAATTAATATTCTTAAATAATTTATATTTTTATTTATAAATTTTTAATATATATCACTACAAGAAAAACATCAAATAGTGATTGAAAATTCGGTCACTAAATCTGCAAAATCGAGTTACTAATTAAAATAGTGATCGAAATAGTGACCAACTGGAATCGGTCACTATTTCCTTGATCATTGATTTCGATGACCGATTATATATAACCAAATCGATCATCTGAATCGGTCACTAAATCAATGAAATTATATTATATTTTGCTTATTTAAGTTTTTATTTATATTTATTTCCCCTATCTTTATTATATTTTTTAGAAGTTTAACTTATTATTAGGTGGTTTATTGTCATTGTCAGGATTCGAACCTGTACCTTAGAGTTGGAGGTTGAAACTCCAACCACTGAGCTACTAGGATCTTTTAATAATAACTTACAAATAAATTATATTTATATACAAATAAATGTATATCCGTATAAATATATAAATATAAAATCTATAAATAAAAATATATTTATATATTTTAATATATAA